TCTTGTGACGTGAACATTAGTTTCACTATGGAAAGACCAGATAGAAATGGTTTCTTGCCATTTCTGAATACAAGAGTACGCCTTGTAGAAGGAAGAAAGGAACACACCTGGTATAAGAAGGCAGCTTCCTCAAATATTTTAGTACACTCACGGAGCGCTCACCCAAATTACATTAAAGCCAATGTCGTACAGAACCTCATCAAAACGAAGGAAAAGCTCGGAAATTTCACTGATTCCAGTGTGGATACAAAAATTCGGTCTATACTTGAAGAAAACGGCTATTCATTCGGCAACTTCAGGACTTGGAAGCCGTTCAGATCACCAGATGGAGTTACGCTTGTATTACCATACGTCAACGAAACACTGGCAAGACAGATAAATGAAATTATCAAACACTCCGAGTTACCCATTAACCTTGTATTTCGTCCGCCGAGAACTTTGAAAGATATACTAACTTCCTCAAGAATATATGAAAGTCGATGCTCCGCAAACGATTGTACGTACTGTTCATCTCAAAGCAAAATTTGCGAACTACGAGGAACCGTATATCTTCTCCGTTGTCGAGGTTGTGGCGAAAAATACGTTGGGGAAACATCAAGACCCTTAAAACACCGCCTTGATGAACACAGAAGAGCATTTATAAATCCTACAGCCTATCCAAAAGAGAGCTTTTCCAAACATCGGACATCCAAACACACGAATACAAATGCTCCTCTTTTTGATGTCATGGTTCTTCATTGCCATCTAACACATCCTTTGGAGAGAAAAATAATGGAAGCCCGAGAGATCCAGAGAATCCGACCTGAGATTAATGCAAAGGAAGAGCTTCGTGAAGTACTCAGATTGATATCATGATAAGGGAGTGCATATGCTATGGGTTATTGCAAAAGTGAAGTTCATTTGTCCACAGCGCTAAGGGCATAGGGTGAGTAGCTTCTATTCCAACCCCATCTTTCCTTCCTCCTCCTTCCTTCCCCTTCCTTCCTTCCCCTTCCTTCTGAAACACTGAGGAGTTTAGAGGTTGCCCGTCCACCCACCACACCACTCGGCACGAATCCAATCCTTCCTACTTGGTGCGTTGTTTACTGCATTGTATTGTATTGTATATGTATATAGTTTTGATGTATCGATAGTATTGTTAGTTAAGGCCGGAAGAAGGCGTTAATCGCCGAAAGCTTGTCAATAAAGGAGTCAGAGTGGAGCTTCCAACATCACAAGCTATAGAAACTTAAAGAATGAAGCTCAGAGATAGCACGATCTTATCATACCTCAAGTTCCTGCAAAATCGTTACTGTCTCAGTAGGAATATTTTCGCTATCTTAGTACAATACGTCGCTTTTCATCAACTTGCTGCAGTGTATGATGCATCTATAGAATTTTTGTCAACATGTAAGCGAGAACGCATCTACCCAGCTTTTATTGCGAACAAATTCCATAACATGCCCTTTGGGAACAATTCCATCGTCAGAATGAAAAAACGAGACCTTGAAAAAGCACTCCTTGACGCAGCAACTGCCGATCACCGTCAGCGGAAGAGACACTGCTTAGTAAATATTGTACGCAAACGAGACCTGTTGCGCCCTGTACTTCAGCAAAGTGTTTGGCACAGGATGTCGTCATTTAACCAAAAGTTGTGCTCACGCCTGCGAAGAACTCAACAACAACACTTCAGCCGAAAACTAGCTCTTATCAGGTCCCGTCAGTTGCCTACGCAACCAAGATCATTCATTATTGAAAACGCTGTCCCACCGCGTCGACATACAGTCATCGGTACGAATGAAGTCGATGAAGATATGGCGTCTGTCCTAAACCTAGGTCCATCGTTTGCAATTACTCCAAAAGTTGATGAAGCATTGATCGATGCAACATTTCGTGGTATACACCAATTCGCGTATCACCTACGTTGGAAGCACAGCCGAGGTCCTACCGTACTCGATAGACAATCTTCACTAATGGTTGATATGCCTTTCAAAGGTAATCACATTCAACTTCCTCCACCAACCCGCGACCTGGATTCTAAGATTGATCACCTCGAACAAGCTATACTACGCCTCTACAATGGTGCAGCTACCAAACCATACAGATCAAATCTCTCCCCTGCTGAACGGAAAGGCTTCAAAAAACTGCTAAGAGCTCGTCAGCAATTGAGATATACCGTCGGAGACAAATGTGGATCGTTTGTAGTAATGCCCCAAGCCCTGGACAAAGCGATCAGTAATCAAACACTCTCGGACTTGACTGTTTACGAAGAGAGTACAATGGCATCGTTCAAATCGTCATGTAAGAGGGTGAAAGAAGTCATCATGACAACAGTTAAGGATCGTTTGGGTACAGTCATAGCAAAACGATTATATGACAAGTCGCCTTCTATTCCAGCGCTCTACAATTTGGTCAAAACACATAAACTTCCTCCCTCTGCTGAAACAGCCACTCTTCCATGGACTGAAGTGAAAACGCGACCGATTATTTCATCGTGTGGCGGCCCATCAGATAGACTCAGTTGGCTTCTTGTTCGGCTACTGTCACCACTACTGAGATACGTGGGAGCTCATATTGTCAGCGCCAAAGAATTTCTAAATTTGCTCCATCAGTGTCCAACTGCAATATCACCTTCGTATGCAAGCTTCGACGTTACATCATTGTACACGAACGTGAATAATCCAAACGCAATCGATGCAGTAGTTTCACTTCTACAGGAACACCAGGATGATATAAGTATGATGGGTTTCACTATATCGGAGGTACGAAGCCTTCTAGAAGCGGCTCTTCAGTGTAACATTTTTTGTTTCAATAACAAATTGTACGAACAAAAGAGAGGACTGGCTATGGGAAATCGCATTGCCCCTGTGCTAGCTATTATATTCCTAGACAGAATCGAGAGAGTGTCACTAACTGCCGGTATCTTGTTCTACAAACGTTACATAGATGATACCTTCGTGATAGCTGCTAATGAAGAAGAACTTGAGAGCACTTTTGAAAGACTAAACTCTTGTGACGTGAACATTAGTTTCACTATGGAAAGACCAGATAGAAATGGTTTCTTGCCATTTCTGAATACAAGAGTACGCCTTGTAGAAGGAAGAAAGGAACACACCTGGTATAAGAAGGCAGCTTCCTCAAATATTTTAGTACACTCACGGAGCGCTCACCCAAATTACATTAAAGCCAATGTCGTACAGAACCTCATCAAAACGAAGGAAAAGCTCGGAAATTTCACTGATTCCAGTGTGGATACAAAAATTCGGTCTATACTTGAAGAAAACGGCTATTCATTCGGCAACTTCAGGACTTGGAAGCCGTTCAGATCACCAGATGGAGTTACGCTTGTATTACCATACGTCAACGAAACACTGGCAAGACAGATAAATGAAATTATCAAACACTCCGAGTTACCCATTAACCTTGTATTTCGTCCGCCGAGAACTTTGAAAGATATACTAACTTCCTCAAGAATATATGAAAGTCGATGCTCCGCAAAACGATTGTACGTTACTGTTCATCTCAAAGCAAAATTTGCGAACTACGAGGAACCGTATATCTTCTCCGTTGTCGAGGTTGTGGCGAAAAATACGTTGGGGAAACATCAAGACCCTTAAAACACCGCCTTGATGAACACAGAAGAGCATTTATAAATCCTACAGCATATCCAAAAGAGAGCTTTTCCAAACATCGGACATCCAAACACACGAATACAAATGCTCCTCTTTTTGATGTCATGGTTCTTCATTGCCATCTAACACATCCTTTGGAGAGAAAAATAATGGAAGCCCGAGAGATCCAGAGAATCCGACCTGAGATTAATGCAAAGGAAGAGCTTCGTGAAGTACTCAGATTGATATCATGATAAGGGAGTGCATATGCTATGGGTTATTGCAAAAGTGAAGTTCATTTGTCCACAGCGCTAAGGGCATAGGGTGAGTAGCTTCTATTCCAACCCCATCTTTCCTTCCTCCTCCTTCCTTCCCCTTCCTTCCTTCCCCTTCCTTCTGAAACACTGAGGAGTTTAGAGGTTGCCCGTCCACCCACCACACCACTCGGCACGAATCCAATCCTTCCTACTTGGTGCGTTGTTTACTGCATTGTATTGTGTATTGTATATTGTATATAGTTTCGATGTATCGATAGTATTGTTAGTTAAGGCCGGAAGAAGGCGTTAATCGCCGAAAGCTTGTCAATAAAGGAGTCAGAGTGGAGCTTCCAACATCACAAGCTATAGAAACTTAATTTTATTTTAATGAAGCTCAGAGATAGACCGTCTATCATACCCGTTTAAATATTCGACTTTCGTGTCACTTCGGGACAGTTTACAAGCGCCAGCTCACGGTGGGACAGGCCTCTGTCGCAGGACCAAAAAATAAATAAAAAAAAAAAAAAAAAAACTCCAATTGTAACTGATTGATCAGTGGTGTGGTCTCTAAGATAACTCATGTTGATTGTGTACAAAAGGGTCCTTTGCAGCCCTGTTGGGTCAATCAGACACGAGGCTATCCACTATCAATCTTTCTCCAGGGGATTTGATGAAGCTATCAGATTTTTCAACTGACACGCTGGAGATTCGAAGAACATACTGATGAAAAACATCGAAGAAGCAGTTCTAAAAGTGTAACTTCGATTTTCAGATCGCTATTCTGTCACACTTTTGATTAAGCGCTTTGTGATCGGCGTCGTTTTATGTGCTGTCTGGTGTTCCCTGAGCGAATGCGGGGGAGAGATCAGCTGTTCCATCAGGGCTCCTCCCTTCGTCTTACCAACTCCCACCTGCTTCTCGGTTTGGTTATCTTTCTCCAATGTTCTTATGCGCGGTTTCTCTGATTTTTTTATGCACTTTCGGCGAAGCCACTTCCCTTTCCTATTTCGAAATATCTTCGCGGTCGCGATTTTTCAGCACCTTGCTATCATTAAAACACTCTCTTTAGACGGAATTGCCACTAAAATTCCAAAAGAGTTCGAGAGTAGTACTCTCTCAAAAGTGTCTGTAAATCTCAGACTTTTGTTTCAGAATGGGAGATCTCGCAGCTGCATTCGCCAATGCGGAACTCACTCCAAGTGTGATAGACAACCCACCAAAACAAAAGTTGAACGTAAGTTACCACTTGTAATCTTTGTAGATCCGGTCGCCGAGTAGTTAACTTTTTTCAGCTCACCTGGGATGGTATCCAGGTCGAACCTGGAATGACCATGTCGACACGGAATCTGAAAAATGCCCCTCGTTTCCATCTCCCTGGAGCAGACCCGGAGAGCACCTTCTCCCTATTTGATGATCGGTCAGTTCATATTGTTACGTTCGACCTATCCACGCATTTGGAATAGCTTTCGAGTACTCAATGTTTGTGTGGCTATGCCATGTGTCGAGCGACGATCTCGAGCCAAAGAGGCTGAGACAGCCGTTGTGGATCTTTGACGTCAAACGAAGGGCACGGGAAAGTGACAATTGAACGCCCACAGTCCACTTCGGGTTCTCTCATCCGGCCTTTTCAGCACCGAGCAGAAATGAATAAATTGCACATTTTCGTTTCTAAATATCAATATAATAATCATACAAAGGGCAGAAACGTCAAATAAATTTGAGCGGTTCAAGGTTCTTCCTTATCAGTGCTGAGAAAAGCTCCTGCGAAAGCAATGGATTTCCATCTCTAATCTGGGAGAAGTAAACTATAGTCCAAAATCTATTCGTAAGACTTAGACGCATTGAAATGTTATTGAATTGTCCAAACAGGGACACCTTTTCGAGTTTCAAACGCGCCAGGAATTGGATTAATAGCGCCAAGAAGGAGTTAGATTAATAGCGCTGAATTAGTGAAGCACCTCAACCTCCTTTCGAAATCTTATCTCCCCAGTTCTCAGGACCTCTGCTTTTTTGGGCAACCCAAATGAGCAATCGCAACCGTTGGGGCTTAGCTATTCAGAGAGGCAGCGGACCCGGCGAGACTAACGCTGGGAAAAGAAAAAGAGGAATAGATATCCAGAAAGGTCGAGAAAGGTGGAAACAAGTTAGCGTAGAAAGCGAGATTTGTTTCTTCACGTGCACAAGGGAAGGAGAAATCTGTTGATGATACGATCAGTTTGAATTCCTCCGCTGTTGCTGGAAGAACTTGCGCTTGAGGAAATGTTCTCTCATGTTTTTATGAAGTGTAGAGTTGTACTACATCAGTGAGACCGTTTTTGAGCTGCCGCTTTTCAGATCCCGACAATCTATCGAGGAAAAACCCATCGGTCGCCGAATGGCTACATTGGCTAGTGTGTAATATCCCGGCAAGCAATGTTCTCGAGGGTATCAACGGAGGTCAGTCCACATGTCAAAGGAATTGTTAGGAGATGATTGATAGCCAACTACAGCTCACAATCTGACTCAAAAATGATTAAGCACTTGGTATGCCTTTTCTTATGCGCCATGCATTCGGGTTTCTCTCCCAAGTTGCAGTGGCTTTTGAACATTTAGCTTTTTGTTTTAGCCTCAGAGATTGGTACAGAATCTTACTTGTAACTTGCACAGTGCAACTTCGGGTACCCCCCAGGAGGCCCGTCGCGCGGCAAAAGGCAAAGTCAGCGGACGAGTCGCGCGCGTACTATAGGGATTTCGCGTCAAGTTAAATAGAGTGTCCCACTGCACGTCCTACATCGCACATCACGCGCTGCAACTCGTCCGCCGACTCTGCCTTCTTGCCGCGCGACGGGCCTCCTGGGGGGTACCCGAACTTTCACTCGCGGGCATAGTCCGAAATGTTGGTTTAACCTTAAGGCAAACTCCGGGATTGAACTAGTGCTATCAGCGCTCTGTAGTGATACCTTAGCTGCGGAACGCCCTGAAAGTGGGAAGGAAAGCAAGAGAAATCTTTGACGAACGCTGAAACTAAGGTCTTACCTTTAACAGGGTCGGATGTGGTACGATGTCGAGAAAGGGCGGTCAAAGAAGACAAAATACGCGAGAGAGCACGTCGTTTGAGAGAGCACGCTGATCTCTACATCAATGCACACTGATCTCACCACCTCTCGCGGTGGGTGGGGAGCGTTGGAAATTGGGTCGATGGTTGCCGGCCCGTAAGGAATAGCGCCTTCTAACCGCGCAATTTTGCGCTGGGAGTTGAATCTGGTAGGTACAGACCTTGGAATTCCTATTATAGTGTGTCCCTAAGTCGGGTCAATCCTTTTTGTTGGTTTGCCTTTAACAAGGCATTCCGATTCTCAAGGATATAGTGAACTGACTGAGGGCGCCCCACCCTTCACAGGATATCCCTGAGACCCTGAACTCTACCGTTTATTCTAGCCTATTGCTGGACTTGTCGATTAATTCCGACACCGGTGCTTGAATCCACTATATCATCAAAACTTTAGGGCAACACCAAATGCCGTATGGATCTCCTGCACCACAACCACGAACAGACATTCATAGATATGTTATACTCATGTGGGAGCATCAAGGAAGGTGAGCCATTGGAAACTTCATGTCATTCCACCTCGGGCACAGGCCTACAAAGAGAATCTCTCGTGAATCATCCAGCTAAAAGGAGCACCTCCTATCTTTCGAGCAACATCTGTTTCTTGACGATGACTGACAACAAATAGCTCTCTACGCAATCATTATTGATAAATGACTCGTTCTTTTTCAGGCGCATCAACGTCCCGAAGCCTTCGACTCGAGCAAAGTTCAATGTTAAACAATTCATAGAGAAGCATAAGCTTGGTAAGCACTGAAAAACTTCACAGAAATGCTTCAAACTTGATTAGCCTTAAATAAGTGTTGGGATCA